ATGTGGGGGAAGCAAGAATAAGAGAAAAGCTGCCTTTCCACCCAAGAGAAGGTGGTGGCTGGGGGTGGGAGGGAAAGGGAGAGGAGGAGAGAGGCATTTTGTTTGGCTTGTATCATTTAAGAATTTAGGAATCTGGGGGCCAGCAAGATGCCTTAGTGGGTAGTAAAGGCATGTGCCATGAAGCCTGATGAGCTGAGTTCGATCCCCAGGACCCATGTGGTAGGAGAGAACATGTCCTCTTTCACAGGCACAGTACGGTATATGCAGTCTCCTTGACCAATGTAATCTTAACTTAAAACAAAACAAAACATGAGATTTGTCTTTGTCAATTAATGCCTTTCTTTATTCTCTTTTGGTGTGAAGTAACAAGGATAAGGTACCCTGGGAATGCTTTCCAGTTCTTCACACCTGGCCATACACCTGCTGTCTCCACTAATATGACAGAAATGGGGAAGGCAGGTTAGTTTGCCATGAGAAGACTGAGCATTGCTGAGCATTAGAAACAGATTCAAACTACAATGAAGTCCATGAGGAGCCCGAGTAATTGTCAGTTACTAGCTTTATATTGGAATTGCCTTCTTTTCCTTATTGGATGCTGTAGGAGAACTCTGTGAAGCCAGGAGCCTGTTTGCTGGTTCCCTGGAGTTTCCTGGAACAGAAACCCGGGAGCCTGAGTCGTTCAGGCCTCCTCACTCCATGGCAGAGTTGCCCATGTTCCATGAATGGTCAATCTTGTATCACTGTCTTGGGGCAGCACCTCACTTCCTGCATTCACAGAAGTGAGCTCTCCATCTGTCTAGAGGCTGTGGTCTAATAAGTAGAGGAGCCGCTCCTTTGAGCCTTGTCAGTGCTACCCATTCCTAATTATTAATTCATAAGATGGGCACACCCCAATCGTAGAGCTTGGACCAAAAAGAACATTATGAATCATGCACAACCCTATTGTATATTTTGGAATTTGAAATCTTTACTCAGAAGACGGTCAGTATCAGAGCCTGTCTGGGAGTTCAGGTTGTTCATTGTCCCATTAGGAGGCCAGTGTAAGTGCCATAATGAGGGGTGGACTCTGAGGAGGCACAGGGCATGACATAACTAGAGCAATGTCACCTCAGAGACCCAGGTCCAATGGCCCATCAACAGAACAGCAGATTCCTGATGTTCATGTGGGGACCAGGACCACACAGGGGCTGGTGTCTCTCCCATCTAGTCCTTCAGGGTTCTCTAGTGTGTGTGTAGCTTATTTTGGACTTTAGCCTTTGGCACAACCACAGAGCTGGAACAGGATGCTTAGTAACTAACTGCAGGAGCACCAGGTGCTCTCTGGGTCCAGAGGGGATTAGCAGCTCCAGGGAAGCTAAGGTCAGGTTTCCAACAGACTACAGGCTGAAGACAGGCAACAGGGAAGCAGAGCAAGGACACACCAGCATTCTTGGGGACAATGGAAAGAGCACTCTAACTCGAGGAAGCTTGTATGAGTCCAGACAAAGCAGTTTCTGGATCCTCAACTAGCTCCTGCTTACGATTGGTGGGAAGGTGAAGGGGGCAGTGTGTGCTTGCTTGAGTGTGTGTATGCACACACCTTGAACGTTGGACTGGTTGCTATTTTTCCAAGCACATGGAAAGCTGGAATGTGTCTACAGAATCCAAGATGTACATAGCATGAGTTAATACTCTTTATTCTTAGCACCAGCTGGGTCCTGATGAGAACATGGATCTACTCTTAGGCTTAAAGAAGTGCCGACTCTGAAGCACTGAAAGAGGGCACTACCAGGAGAAAGGAAATGCGAAGCACATACGCAGTTTAAAATTTCTAGCAGCCACAGTGAAACAGAATGAGTGAATTAATCTTAATAACATAGAGCATTTAACCCAATATACTCAAAAATTATTTAATGAGCTATTTCACATTCCTTATTTTGAACCAAGTTTTTGGAAACCGATGTCTATTTTGCATTCATAGCACATTTCACTTCATACATGTGTCTCCTGTGCCCACAGCTACTTGTGGCTGTTGGTGGCTCACAGACAGCACAGACTGAGGAGGAACTGCAACCCTGGCACAAGGGTTAGAAAGTGGAACAGGAAAAGTACATGTGCCTAGAGGGAAAAAAATCCTCTCTGAGGGCAAACAGCCTTCCAAGGGAAGGACTGATCCAGGTAATGGGATCAGTGGTTTCCAGCTACATGGGAGCCCCGCCCCCACCACAGATTTCCATTCCAGCTGTCTGCGATGCCTCCTTAAATTCAAACAGGGAGAAACTGAATCTGACCATGTTTACCTTGACTGCTTCCTTCATTTATCCAACACTGGGGACCCCGTCCTCTCTACCTCTTAGGAATGGGGTTGTCTGGACTCTCTGGATGCTAAAGCTGGGGTGGTGACTATCCTCTGCTTCCTTCGGGTATCTGCTAACTGAGCCGCTGATAGCCCTCTAGCACTATGGTTCCTCGGGGTAATACCAGATGCTGTATTTATGGTGCACCATACTGGTTGCAGGAGGAAATGCCTTTGTGCATCTTGAGTAAAGCATTCAGGAAGAGAAGTCTGTCCGTTATTAGAAGAGATAAAATTTGGGTGTTGATAACATAATGTCAGTCATCTCAGCCTGACTGGAGGAGGTGACTTATGAGTCACAAAAGGGTTCGGCTCTTGTGTTTACAGCCTTTACTTCCTTGTGCAAGGCTCCAGCCTTCATTGGGTCTTAAAATTCCCTCTTCTGTCCTCTCCTAGCCAAAAGTGAGTAAAAGTAATGAGGGAAGTGTGAGCCATTGGTCCTTTGTGTGTTTATAAAATAGCAGCTCCATTGGCATTTGGTTCCCAGATCCTCTTTGGAGCAGCACACTGTTTGCCAGGTGATTGACTCAGCTTTTGCACCGAGTTGATTAAAAGATGCCCGGGGCTTTTATAAGCTATGGATACCATCCCAAGAGTTGTCTACATCTGGCCTGAGGTCATCAGGCCACTAACTGGAGTTTGGACTTTCTGTTTTTAATTAACCCATTTTGTTTTTCATGAGGTGTGACCCAGACCCGTCTTGGCACACTGAGGTCAGAGAATCTCTCTTGAGGTCCTTTGAAACCTTGCTTTCCACAGGGTGAGAACCAGAAGTGTCAGCACCAGCAGCTAGCAGGGGCCAGTGTCTGGCACAGCCCAGATAACAAAGTCAGGGTCTGTGCTTCAGTAGGGTCCTGAGTGATACCAGCATCCAGCAGGCTTTTAGACACACTGCTCGCCAGCACCCTGACTAGTTGATGGAGATGATGCCATCGTCTCTCAGCCAGCCATTTCTGCTGTTGGATAGCACTTGCTTTAGGAAACTGTCCCTTCTGTCAAGTCATGGTTTATCAGTGTCCCCCGCACAAGTTAGCATTATTGTTCTGAATGCCCACATAGCGAGTGCTTGGAAATATCCATTTCTCTCCTCTGTTACATGGAGACTTGGCCCCGAGGCTGGGTGGATGGGTGTTCTACAGGGAGAGGACATCGGCAGTGGAGATGAGCAAGAGGGGTGATGCGGTAGTACTGAAGGAACAGCTAAGACTTCCCCTTTCCCAACTGTGCTCCTGAGGCGTGTACCTCTCCCCTCCGGGCGTGTACCTCCCCCCTCCGAGCATGTGTTTTTAGGAGAAGGGTATGGTCAGCACACCTGGTAAGGATAGGTGGAAGGTGGTGGTATTGATGGGTGAAAGAGGTCAAACAAGACAGTGGCAGAGGCCAGGAGACCACTGCACTGCCGGTGTGACCTCACTGTTTCTCGGGCCCTCTCTCTGAAACAAGTGTGCTACACAAAAGATTTCTAAGTGCCCTTCTGAAAGATGGTGGGGTCAGTTACAGTTATTACACGGAATCTCCAGGGCATCTCCAAAGGGGGACTTCCAAGTGTCCATTCAAAGAAACTTCCCAGAGCTTGGAATTGAACCTCTCTGGCGAAAGTGATTCCAAACTGTCTTCCAACAGAGGCTTGACCTTCTCGTAGGAGCCCAGCTTAAAAAGAAGGTCTACGTAGCCTCAATTCCATATCAGCATATGTAGCCTGGGCTGGTGAGGAATAATGGATCTTGGCCGTGACTCTCTGGGGACACATTGCTCTGTGTCTAGAAGCAAGTTGGGAACTCATTTCATACCTCACTGGAATATGTCATGTGCGGATTCTCTTGAGGCACATAGTCTTGTTTGAGACGTCATCTATTACCCAGGACTGTCTCAACAGTAGTGTAGTCTTTGTGAATGCCGCACTGTGGGTCCTCATAGTTCCACCGTTGGCTCCCCATCAACCAACACCTGACACCACATTTGACATGGCAGTCCGTCCCTTGAAACTTGTTCACTAAGATCGAAGGGTTCAAAATAGTATCGGGGTAGGCACAGCAGGTCTGTCCCTAAAGGCAGCCCTTCCCTGTGTCTCTCCTGCCAGTCTGAGGACCCTTTGTTGTCATTCTCACCTCACTGTGGCCACGCTACCCATTTCCCATTTCATTGCTGGATGCTTGCTTCTAACGCTGTGCATCTGTATTTTCTCCTGTGCATCTGCCATGTTGTCATGGAAACTCAGTGGCCATGGGCCACAGATATCTGGAGTCATCTGAGTGTGGTGGTGTGGTACGTGTATTTGCTCACGTTTTTTATTTTGAATCCTTTCCAATGTGACATCTGCTAAAATGTCTCCCTTATGATTTGCTTGGTGATCACAGCCTTCTCATCATTCATTGAGCGCAGGACCTGATCTCACAGAATCTGAAAAGAACTATGTGGTAAGATGCCTGTTGAATAAGACTGTGGCTTTCCTAAAGGGAACCCTTACTGACTGCAGTGTGTAGACCAGAGTAATGCCTGGTGAACATACCGCTGTGGTTTTCAAGAGCCCACGGCTGATGTAGTAGAGTCAGGGATTTGGCCACCCTCTACGACACTAAACGCGGAGGAATTTAGAGACAGTTCCGCTTTGCCGGAAGGTGGGATTAAGTAATGAGCTAGTGCATGATGGGGGATTCGTTCTTGTATTTCTAGCCTGAGATTATTCCACCTGTAACAGCTACTCACTAATTACAGGCTTTTGTGCTGCTGCTGCTGCTTAAAAAAATAGTCATACTAAATGCCAAATTCCTCTATCTTACCTGTCTTTCCATGCTTACCTGGATCCCTCCTGCACTCCACTACTGGAATCTGTTTTGTTTTTGTTTTTTAACCTGGATCCTCAACTCTGTTTTCTCCCTGGACTTACGTGCTTCGTCTGGAATGTTACATCTCTTCCTCTCTCTTTTTTTTTTTTTTGTCCCCACATTGACTGTTTTATGGGGGTTTCTGGATATCGCGGGGCCACCTCACAGGAAGCGGTTTGCAATGAGATCATAAACATTGCCGAGAAATCTGTTCATTACTGCAGCACTGTCTCTCATCCCCTTGACTTCCATCACAAGGTACCCCCCTCTGACGGTAAATCATCTTTAATCGTTTCTCAGCAACCTCAAGCCCAGCAGCGGAGAGTCACCCCAGATAGGAGTCAGACCTCACAGGATTTGTAAGTACAGTCTAAGAACTTTGGTTCTTTTGTTGTTGGTGGACTTTCTGTTTTGGAAAATGATTGGCTGACTATATCACAGCCATTTGGGGAGAATGAGCTAATTGCTTACCGCCTCTTTGGGCATTTCTAGGGAAGGCCATATTTCCTGTCATCCTATAAAGACAGGTGGGGGGTGAATAAAAGAGGTCATGGGCTACTGGGAGAGATATATGGGTAAAGAATTAATGACCATACAAGGGGAAATGAGAGTTGTGCTAACCAGTTTCAATAAGGATGCTATGGAGAACAGAGAAAGAAATGAATGAACAGAGTTGATGTATTTACTCATTCATTCAAAAAATTTATTGGCTATGTCCTGTGGTTTATACACATGGAAGAAAATTCTGTTCATAGAGGAAGAGCAGTAATTTGAACCAAGCTTCGAGAAAAAGTCATGGAGTGGGTGGTGTTTGGAGACCCTGGAGAAGGCCTGTGTGACTAGCAGATGGTTCAGGGAAGTGAGGATAGAGATGAAAGTAGAGATGTTAGGTTGGGGCCAGATTCTAGATTGCAGCTGAAATAGGTTTGGATTTTATTCTGCAGACACCAGGAAGCCACTGAAGGCATTTAAAGTGAGTTGCGTATTGACCATGTTTGTTCTAGGAGATAACTCTGGCAACAGATGGAGGATGGGATTCAGAAACAAGGCACAAGGATGTTGGTCAGTAGGTATGAAGTCAGTCATGATAGTCTTAGCTAGAACAGAGTGAGCTTTTTAAAAGTAACCATGGAAATATTTAAGATTACCAACAGAGAGACAGGGCAAAAAGTAATCGACAGTGAAGGAGAATAAGAAGGGCAGCAGGAACAGGAGTGCTCTCTTTTAGAGAGCAGAGCCCATAGCATCTGGCCAGCCATGCTGCCTGCCTCTGAGAGTCCAGGAGTAAAAAATGCAAAAGGATCACCAGATATTGTCTCTGGCAGCTTGCAGAATGACTGGCGACTGTGTAACAGTAGTGAATGTTCCATTGGAAAGGGCTGAGGAGTAAGTTTGATGATGCATGGGGTGGGGTGGGGTGGGGTGAGGGACTGTAGATCAAGGGACATTGGAGACAGGGCAGAGTTTTAGGCATATTTGTGGCAAAGAAAGAGGTGACAAAATTGAAAGATACAAATAAGAAGCTGTAAGTGGAAGAAGAGAGTTCAGCATGGCCAGGAGAAAGGGTACTTGTACACAGTAACAGGGACAGGACAGCAAATAGAGGCAGACTCCTGTCTGTCAGGGAGGAACGTTAAGGTCTTGTCACAGCAAGTTTCCATCTTGGAAGCACTCTGTTGAGAGCGGAGTACCAGAACCAACAGAGTTGCTGGGGACATTAGAGCCTTAAGTGGGACCAAGGCCACAAGGGTATAGATTTTTCTCCAGTTTATCTCCACCATTTGCCTACAGACTAGCAGAGTTATTTTCCAGAACATGGCTGGGGAAGCAGCCATGGTGGAAATTAAGGGGGCCGGGCAGTTTAAGATGTTAGTGAGGGTATATATTAGATAGCAAGCTATAGGAATCCAAGTTAGGTAGAAATACATCCAGAACTGTGTGAAAAAGGTATTTAACTTACCAACTTGAAATCTGTCTCTGTCTCTTAATTCCTCACTAGAGACTTTCCCTCTGGCAGCCAGGGCCTTTCACCAAAGTCTCAACACACTGGGGAAAGTAGTGAAAACAGGTGTCCTGTGTGTGCCGCTCAGCACAAGCGAGCCTCTTGGTTCTGGAAGCCAATCCCACACACTCGTTTCTAGTTCCTCTTACTCCACATCGAAATCCACGGACATCACTGAAAATGGCATTTGATTGGCTCGTTTACAAAATTCTGGTGCAACTGTGGTGTTTTAAAATGATGACTAGTCTGAATTGTGGCATGGGTGCGTATTAGAGGCCCTGTAAGCATTTGGCAAGGGAATGTATGAAAACAAAGCTCTCCCTTGATGCTAAAGCTGATGTCAGTTTCACAACGAGTTTCAGTGTTATCAGAACACAGAGCTGCGCAAACCAGATGTCCTAGGCCAAAGAGCAAGTCAATAAAAACCTTATCTCCAACTCTCATTGGGGTGATGCAGGAGCAGAAAGCTTTTGGGGTCTTCAGGAAAGAAGCCCCACACTTTGAAACACTCAAGAATGTTTTGTTAAATGGAGAGACAATGGGAATGTGCTATATTACTGTTATTAATTATTATTGTTTTGCTTTTGTTTTTAAGACAAAGTCTTACTCTGCAGCCACAAGCTCAGTATACAGCACAGAGTATCCTTGGACTCAATGGCAGTCTTCTTGCCCCAGTCTCCTCCTACATGCTCAGATCACAAACATGAGCCATTCCACCTGGCTGGAAATGCACTTTTTAATACATTTTCCCACCTGACTGTGTCTGTTGCCTGTTTTTATAGTTACCCTTTGTTCTCTAATGTCTATGACCAGAATTTAATGCTCCTGGAACTAAATAACTACTGATTATTCTTAATAATTTACCAATATCTTCCTATTATAAAAAAGGGTGTGGTTGACTTTAGAGGCGGTGAAGTGAAGAGAGGGGTTGCAGACAATAAAGATTTGCCATCATAATAGAGGAAAACTATAAATAAGATTAATGATTAATCGTTAGTGATAATCAGGAATTCCCTACCCTTGTCAGTCTTCATTGGTTTAATGCATTTTTCAGATGCTAAACTGCTAGAGAAATAATCAGTGAAACATTTTCTTCATTAGATGGGAAACATCACGTAAATATTGGGTTCACAGTACTGGGATTTATAAATGGTTGTTAAATCCTGTCAGCAACTAAGCCACTCACTGGCTCTTTTTCTTGTTTGTAGGTGTAGCTACCAAGCATTGTATAGCTATGTGCCGCAGAACGATGATGAGTTGGAACTCCGAGATGGAGATATTGTTGATGTCATGGAAAAATGTGACGATGGATGGTTTGTTGGTAAGAGTGCCATCATACTTTTCTTCCTAGTGGTTTATTGGAGGAAGGACTAGAAATGATGGGACATGTAAAAAGAAGTCTTCTTTGCACAGAAAGCAATCTCTCAGCCCCTGTAAGAGTGCTGGACCACTCATTCTCAAGGTAGTATGAATGTCACAGCATAGGACCTGAAGCCCAGATAGGCCAGTGTCTGTGACATAAAACAGCAGGTGTCAAATTCATGATGGCTATTAATTGGGTTCAGTTTGTATTTCGGTTGTCTATATGTTGAATATTCACAGATTGTTTTTTGTTGTTGTTGTTTTGTTTTGTTTTGTTTTTCAAGACAGAGTTTCTCTGTGTAGCTTTGGAGCCTATCCTGGAATTCACTCTGTAGACCAGGCTGGCCTTGAACTCACAGAAATCCGCCTGCCTCTGCCTCCCGAGTGCTGGGATTAAAGGTGTGCGCCACCAACACTTAGCTCACAGATTACATTTTTAAAGCTCTTAAGAAATGTTTGATTAAGACTAGGTCTCCGCCATGAATTTTAAGCACATGTGTGGATGTTCCTAAGACCCTTTTATTTACTCTAGGTTTTTAATAACTTGAACAAAAGCAACCAGCTCTAATAACAAAGGGCAAACAGTTAAATAGTATAATATTTGCTTAAAGCATGGGGTCCTGGGTTTGTTCCCCAGTACCATACACAGAGAGAGAGACGAGAGTGGTGGGGGGGGAGGAACAATGCAACATCTCCCTTCCCAGGAAAGGGAGAGAACAGTTAATGTCTATAGAGATTCTGCTGCAAACCCAGTATGCTTGATATGTATTCACTGACTTCTCTCACAACACCTGCAAGACAAAAATTAGCCCCTCTTAACAAATTCAGAAAGTGAGGGCAATGGGATTTAATAGCTATTACAAGGTCACTCTGGTAGCAAATGCAGACCGCTCAATACTTCCCAGCCTACATCATTTCTTTTTGGGCCATTGGTACTCTGGGAACCACTGATTCACTCATGCCTTCAGTCTCCCCTTTCTTTCCAACACCAGCTCTTGCCTGGTCTCTCTGGAAGAAACTTGCTAAAGCATGTTCAGAAGCACCACATAAACAGGAAGGCAGGCTAGAAGACAGGGAGCCACCCCTTGGAAAATGCGTGGCCTCCTAGGAGCCAGGCCTCCCTGTGGGCTCTTTACAAAAGCAAGTTTACCAGGAAGCCAGAGGTCACAGGGCATACTGCAGTCCCCACAGAAGTAGTAGGCATGCCAAGTGTCAAATTTTCAAATTTAGAGGGTCACATTGAAAAAGTAAAGAAGAGCCCATAAAATTAGTTTTGATGTTTTATGAGCCTGCAGTATCCAGATATTATAATCTTTTGAGCACATTAACAATGTTAGTGATATATTTTATATTGTTTTCACTCTGAGACCTTGGAAGCTGATTCCAAATTCTCAATAGCTCGATTCTTAGTTACTGTGTGTGGATGTCCTACTAAAGAGTGATGCTGAGGCAGAAGGATGTCATATTCTATGCAAGCTTGAGCTATACACCAAGACTGCATCTCAAAAAAAAGGGGGGGGGGAGAACAGAGGGAAAGGTTGAGAATGAGTTTGCTGTTAAGTTCCTCTTTAGAGTGCTTCAGTTTTCAACCCATAGGGAAGGGACATCAGCCTTCTATGAAGGCAGGTGTCCTGGTTGAAGGAACTACATTGGGATGAGTTACCTTCCTTGCATACCTTAGTTATTTCCAGAAGTGACTGAGTACAGATTTAGTAGTCTAGCATTCCTAATCAGTCAGGACAGATCGTAGGGAAGAACAGTGGGGCTGGGAGTCAGAAGACCTGGCTTCAGATTATGCCTCCAACATTGGTTAAGCTCAGGGACCTGAGAAGTATGACTTAAACTCTGGGTCACTCATCTGAAAAGTGTATCTTGCTTGCTCTTCCTTCCCCCCATTACTTCATAGCCCAAGTGATGTAGCTATGGAAACTGCAGTGTGTGACTGTTACCAAGGGATGGTGCAGAATCTCCAGCATTCTCTTGGAACTCGGTGTGTCTTCTCATTTTGTGTCTGTTTTTGTTTGCTTGTTTCTTACAGGCACATCAAGAAGGACAAGGCAGTTTGGTACTTTTCCAGGCAACTATGTAAAACCTTTATATCTATAAGAAGACTGAAAACCACAGAGATTATTTTTCTCAAAGGATGCAGCATCATTCATGAACTGGTCTCTTTATTTAAGTATTGAGTCAGTAGGAAAATTAATGCAGTTGGTAAAGAATTCAAAAAGAGGAACAAAGAAGTGTGTTTAAAACCCACTGTGTAGCAGGGCTTAACTGTTTGCTGAGGTAATAGGTATTTACATGGCTGCTTCTGGGAGCTGCTCTAGCCCCCACTGCTTGGGTAATCTGATCTGGAGTCGTGTCCACAGCAGCATTAGCCAAAAATGTGCTCAGTCTTTATGCACTCTCATGTCAAATGGGCCCCCTGGGGCCAGATAGGTCAATCAATCCCCAGCCGTGGTCTACAGGTCCCAAGTCTGAGCATCGCTGCCCACCCCTGCCTCTATCCCTGGCTGTCCCAGAGCCAGCAGACCCCAGGGCTGCTAGAGGCTGGTCTGAGTTCTGAGGTTCCCTTCAGCACCATGACTCCAGGTAAAGAAATGGAGGCTGACCGAGTGTCCGGGCCTTCAGCCTGCTGGGTGACATTATACTTGACTCCCCTGATACACAGAAAAGCATGCCATGTTTGTCCTGAGCTTGGAAGCAGGTGGCCAGGCAGATGGGTTACATTTGTGATTCCATGTGACTAAGCCAGTCACCTTGGGGCTCTGGAGGTCATTTGGAGTAGACTCCTTTCCTGGTCACCATCACTGGCTGGGCAGGGTTGGATGTGCCTTTCTTCTCTGCTTTCGTGTGGACTTGATGCTCTTGAGCCCACAGAATTCAGACTGGTCTCTAGTAGTCCTTTAGCCTGTGTAGATGCAAGCTGACTGCTGGGTACCACGGTAAGGCCCTCTCAGACCTGGGAGGAGGTCAAAGACCACTCTGAATGTTGTCCCCCTCCTTCCCACCACCCCAGGCCAGGTAGTCCTGTTGCACATGCTGAAGCCCCTACTCAGAGGTGAGGAATCATACACTGTCTTGCTCCTCTTGATGGCAACCAGGATTCTGTCCTGTGAGCCCTAGTTGTGAGGAAGTGACTCCTTTGACACCCGGGTGTGAGTCACCACTCTGATTCTCTGTTATTTCCCTGATTGACATAAGGGAGATATGGTCTGTTCCCAGAGCTGAGTCTGCCAGGGGTTCAGCTGAGTGGATGACATAGGAAAAGGAACCCAATCTAGAGAGACTGTGATACGTGCAGAGGGTGTGAGAAAGGATGAGTTGGGGGGTGTTGTACACCCTAGAATGCATTGTCAGGTTTTCATTTCCCTCAGCTCACTTCTGAACAATGAGGATGCTGGGAGAACCTTTGTCTGAGGGTAGTTTATGTTTGGGAATACTTGGAATTTTTCCAGAGTCTCATCTTCTTATTCTACCCACACATACATGTACAAGGTTGCTAATATCAGGAATTGTAGGTGATAGGGGTACATACTGGAACCCCTGGCTCTCTGCATGTAGCTCAGAACCACGCTAACCACTGTCCCAAGTCTGCAACATTGTCTTGAGTGACTGCTGTCTGGATGGCATAGGATCCCAGTTGCTTCCCCCTTTCACCCATCAGCCACAGTTCCCCAAGGAGGCTCTCAGGAAAGAAATTGCCACTGATTGAGTCACACTGAAAAATAAATGGCTGATAGGAGGAATGTGCTGTCACTTCCAGGAGATATGTTTTTAACTGACAGCAGAACCTTTAATCCCAAGGGGAAAGGGTGTGGAAGTAACTGAGGGCAGACAAGCTTCTTGGGAAGAAAAGACCTGGTGATTGTGTGACCTGTTGCTTTGGAAGCTCTGCTTCACAAGCCAATAGTACTTCTTTCTTTCTTTCTGTTTTTTTTTTCCTTTGCCCCTCTCAAAGGGAATATAGAACAAAAATTAAATAAATGCATATGTGCATTTTTGCCCATTCAGAATGCAGTCCTTGCTCTCTCCTAGATGCCAACCATGAATAGTGCAGTTGTGTTTAAATCTCCTCAGGGGTGCTTTTTGATTAAGTAGGTAATTTCAAACACCCCTTTAAATACAGCTAGAAAATAAAACCATTTTGTAAAAGCCACATTTGCATTTAATGCTAGCCTCACACAGAGTATCTTCCCAAATCCAGGTATGCCCATCTTTAATAAGATCTTTCCAGCTTCCTACATATGACAAAAACAAAAAGAGCAAAGATTTCCAATTACTCCTTTGTCCTCAGACATTTAGTAATATAAAGTACCTATTTTTATGCTGAAATGTTTATACAGGTTTATTAACAGCAAGCGCAACTAACTGGCGGCATGCCTTGCAACACATTTTGATATATTAGCCATGCTTCCAGGTAAAGGCACGCTCCAAACTACTCACCTTTTGCAGTCTCTCTGGGATTGGTAAAAGAAAAAAAAATCATGTTTGAGAAGTGGGACTGTAAATATGTAATGTATATTTAACTTTGTGTAGCCCATGTACCTACCTTGTATAGAAAAATAATTTTTAAAACTTGAGCAGAAAAGGGAGTAAAATAAGGAAGTCATGAAGGGTTGTTTTATTTTTCCCACTTTTATTTAAATGAAGGAATTTCAAATAATTCACCTGCAGAATTTTAGCACAAAAATAGTCATTGGAAATTGTTAACATATACAATTGTTCTTTGGGAAAGAGAAGACAACTATAATATCATTTACAGTTTTCTTTTTGCAGTTCTATTTACCTGCAGTAGTACTAAATCCTATTACTGGAATAGGTTACTACCAAAAAAGTATTCTATTCAGAAAAAAAAAAATTGACATATGTAACCTATTAAAGTATTGCATTTAAATTTCACACCAAGCGCATGTACTATGCAGACACAGATTTTTTTCTGTTCATTTATTTTTCTTTATTGCAGTGGATTGATTTGATAGACTTGTTGAATTACTACTTTGCTGTATATATTATTTAATAAACTTTATTCAGAATTGCGTGGCACCTTTGTGTTCTTGCCCTTCATTGGTTCTTTCTTCCTGTGGGGGAGGCCCCTCTGCTGCTTCTGATTCTCATACCCACCTCTCCATTCTTAAATCACTGGCCCCCGGGTTTCCTCTCCTCCCTTACCTTATTCTCAATAGCATAACTGATCACATTGATTACAGTGTGTTACTCAAAACATGGGGAAATGCATTGTTTAGCATTTGAATATCAAGTGTGGCGATAAGTGAGTTCTTGGGTTTTTTCCCCACATCAAGTATATCAAAACACTCAGCCCCCATCCCCGCCCCTTCCCCTTCCACAAGCACCCCTGCAGCCACTGCATGGCCGTTAGCTCCCACCTTACTCAGGCAGGGTTTGCTGTGCACACATAGGGTCCTCAAAGAGGAAAGCCTTAGACCTCCTCGCCCTTGCTCTGTCCTCTGCGCAGTAGTTTGCAGCTGCTAGGCAGTGAGCTGGGGCCTCAAACAGGCCAGGAGAGGGTTGCCTTCTAGGGTCTGCTGGTCTCCAGCCTGGCACAGGCAATGTCAACCTTCCTCTTGTGCCTCTATACTGTCCAAATCCTTCATCTTCAAACTACATTTAGAACCCGACCTTTTTGTTTGTTTGTTTGTTTGTTTGTTTGTTTGTTTGTTTTTCAAGACAGGCTTTCTCAGTATTGCTTTGAAGCCTGTCCTGGAACTCTCTCTGTAGACCAGGCTAGCCTCTGCCTCCCAGTGCTGGGATTAAAGAATTGTGCCAACAACACGCAACTTAGAACCCAGTGACTTGTGCTTTTGTAACCAAGCCATTTTCTCTTGCCCAGACCATTGCTCGCCTGCTGGTTTCTCCCTTGCCCCCTCTCCCCCAGCCATGACAGGGCAGCCAAAGCGATCATTGTGAAATTGACCGTACACTCTATTGGTTGTGAACTGAATCCACAAACATTGCCCGTACCTCTCTGTGACCCATAATCCCATCTGCTGGTTCCTGGTAGCTTGTTCTCACTCTAGAATCCCTAGGTTCCCCAAATCCTCCTGCGTGCTCCTGCCTTAGAGCATCATGCTCACTAGTCCTTTCTCCAAAAGCTGTTGGCTTCCTTCCTTCCTTCCTTCCTTCCTTCCTCTTCCTTCCTCTTCCTTTGGGCCTTCATTTTATTCTGCATGAAGCTTTGTCTGGTCACCTTATATAGGATGGGAACTATTGTCCCCACTCAAGCATTCTCTCCTCTGTTGATAAATATAGGTTTGTTTCTCTGCACATCCTACATACGTGGCTTCATATAGGCTTAGGTTTTTCCTTTAATAGAGTTTGTACATAGCACCAAAATGGGTGTATCCAGACCTCTATTGATGATAAAAGTGTGTAAGATTCTTGCCAGCTTTTCACCACAGTGAAAGAATGATGCTGCTGGGAATAGAGTTGTTAACTCTGAGGAGGAATATTTCAAACTTTTAGAGGATGTCAAGTTGCCTTCCTAAGGTACCAGCTTCTACTCCTACCAAGTCCAAGAGAGTCTGTTTCCCACCTTCCAATTAAAACCACAGCCAACCTCCCTAAAGTGTTGTTGCTGGGATTTGGCCAGCCTGCCTGAAGTGCTGCTACACTCTTTCTGGATCTTCACTGTGTTTTTCGAAATCCTTTGTTGCTTTCTCAGCACGTGCTTCCCCAGGGACTGATTCTTCACAATACAAGTATGGGCCAGAGAGTCACTGCTTTGAAGACCCTTTTACTAAGAAACCCAACACTGTTGGCTTGTGTGAAGACATACCAAAGAGAGTTGGAAGTAGCCTCGGGCAGGAGTAAATCCAGGAACTCAAACTTTCTCTGCAGTATTTATCTTATTCTTGGCTCTGTGGTCTTGTTTGACTACATTTTTTACTACTGAGTACAGCCATGGGGTGCAGGCAGCTCCAACCTCATTTTTAGTTTTCTGACTCTGGATGCAAAGGCACGTCTGTCTGGCTTTTCCTGAAAAGAATTCCAGACTCTCTGGTAGGTTCCTCCTGGATTGTATTTTTTTTTTTTTTTTTAATACGTGTATCCCAGGCTGGCCTTGTATTCACTATATAACAGAGGATGACCTTGAATTTCTTTTTTTTTAATTTCTTAATTCATTTTTTTATTTGAATTAGAAACAAGATTGTTTTACATGACAATCTCTCGTGACCTTGAATTTCTAATCCTCCCAACTTCGGCATGCTGGGAGTTTGCAGTGTGCCATCATGCCCTGTTTACACTATGCTGGGGGTAGACCCTGAGACCTTTATGCATGCTAAAGCAAACACTATCAACTGAGTTACATCCCTAGCCTGCCTCCTGGGTTTTATTCTCTGAAGTAGTCGCTTTGACTAGAAAAGATTGGCAGGTCCACTAAAAGTTCCCATGACAAGAGACATGACAGGCTAGGCTGGTGTACTGCATTAAGAAAGAAGAAGATACCTTTAATCCCAACACCTGGGAGGCAGAGGCAAGCCGATCTCTGTGAGTTTAAAGCCAGACTGGTCTACATAGTTCTGGGACAGCCAGGGCTACATAATAGACCCTATCTTAAAACAACAACAAGAGTGGGAAGGTAGGGAGAGCTGGATGACAATGGGCCCCTAGGTGTGGGGACCTGAGGAAGTCCTGAGTGGATGTGTGGATGTGTTTTGTTGACATCAGCACAGCCATGAAGGACCCCAATGCCTCAGAACCATGGGAATATCAAGGCCTTCCCCTGGTCTAAGTACTGACGTTAAGTAGTGCCTCCCTTTCTCTCTCTCTCTCTCTCTCTCTCTCTCTCTCTCTCTCTCTCTCTCTCTGTGTGTGTGTGTGTGTGTGTGTATGAAGTATCAACCACAGTTTGATCATTCCTGAGACTGCATCCTTACAGAGACTCCATACTGAATTTAGCTCACCAGGGTACTTCTGGTGTGTCTCCATCAGTGCACATGGCCCACTCACTCACTCCCAGCTTTTCTGTCTATCGGTCCTTCATTCTCAGTCACCCCTCTTAGGTCAGTTCCTAAGTTCATGGCATCTAGCCTTGGAGAATTATTCAGCAGTCTTTGGAAAATGAACCGCCACTGTCCTGTTCCAATGAGAGTTTCAGTGTGACTAAGAGGAAACAATATACTGAAGCTCTTTGATCCAGACCTTGGGAGGAAACCCAGTGGAGGATGACATCCATGCAGTTGATGAAGCCAGGGTGACCATAAAGGCACAGCACAACAGGCATCACATGCTAAAAATAAAAGGACTCTGGAAGAGAGCAGAAATATTTGGATGAGCTAGAAGTGCGTTTGTTTGCCAAATCTTGGCATGTATAAGTCAATGACTTTCAAGACAAATGGAATACAGTAACTGCTTGATTCAGGCAATTTGTAAGATGAATTAGTGAGAAAATGGTTTGGATTGGAAGAAGTTCTACACGGTCAGTATTTTTATCTATGTGCACATGGCCATGATAAAGTTTAATTTATAAGTTAGGCATAGTAAGTGACTAATAGTGGCTAATACAAACAGAACAATTACAGGTTGAGGCAAGAAAATTGTGAGTTCAAGGCCAGCTTTGGCTACATAGCATTACCCCATGTCAAAAATAGTTACATGAGTGTGGTCTCAAAATATCTTCTATTCTACTCCCCCTTCTTAACCAGAAGCAGCTGAAACAGTGGAAAGGGAAACCACAGATAACAGGATGGCGGCTATATCCAAATAGTTTTTGAGAGAAACTTGATAGAGGCAGAAAGGATGACAAGCAGATCTGAATGGCTAAACAGCACTCGGTGAGTCTGTCCTCATGTATACCTGCTCTTCTGAGACCCTGGCTCTGCCATCATCCTCCCCAAAAATGTGAGTAGGTTTAGATAGTATGGTCCCTTCTGACTTGTCTCTAAAGAAATCTGGCTGGCAGAACTGCAGAAAGGAGGTAGAGCCATGAATCAGCTCCAAATAGCAGCATAAATTGTATATGGGGATGACCTTGAAGCATGATCTATGGTCCCCTTAGGCCCTTGTCATAGCTTCATTTCCTGTTGCTGTGATAAAACATACTGACAAAAGCAACTTATTTATTGTCTTATTTGTAATTTACTTTACTGCAGGGAAGTCAAGATGGCAGGAAATTGAAGTTACTGGTCACATCACATTCAGTCCAGAACACAGAGCAATGACGTAATGTATGTTAGCGCTCAGCTCCCTTTCTGCACTCATAAAACACTTCAAAAGCCTTCATAGAGAATGGTGCCACCCACAGTGTGTAGCTTTTCCCAGGTCAATTTAACATTATCAAGATAATCCCCCATTGAGATTCCTTTTCCTGTGATTATAGATTTGTGAACTTGACAAAACTAACCATCAAAGCACCTCTTTTAGGGGATGCATAATGTCAAGTGACTTATACAACAATGGTAAGGTGCTTTAGTCCCCAAGACCAAGTGCAGGACTCCTCAGTGCTGTGGTCACCCCCCCGTCCTCCAACCCTCCCCTGTCTGTTATTTGGTCTGTGTGACTATTGGAATGTAGCAGGAATGATGATGTGTGACTTCTGAGGTAATGTCATAAAAACTTGTAGTTACTCTCTTCAGATTACTCCCTTGAGGAGACTCAGACAGTTCAGAGCTTCAGGATTCCAGATATTTTACTGTGACAGATAAGTGTGCTATATACCTACACACACACACACACACACACACACGCACACGCACACGCACACGCACACACACACACACACACACACACACACACACACACACACACACATTTAATCCTGGCACTGGGGAGGCAGAGTCAGGAGGATCTCTGTGAGTCTGAGGCCAGCCTGGTCTACAGATCATTCTAGGACAGCTAAAGCTACACAAAGAAACACTGTCTCAGAAAAAAAAAAAAAGAAAAAGAAAAAAAGAAAGGAAAAAGAAAAAAAAAAGCTATCAACTAGAAATCAGATGAAATGTTGAGTTGAAATGATGAGTGTGTCTGAGCCTCAGAAATGCCACACAACTCTCTGGGCCTGGCCTCCTCACATGGGGGTGAAGATG